CATCAAGTACTTGCTCTCTAGGACTTCCCAAATCTTCTTAGCTGAAGTCTCATTCATCACATCATATTTTAGATCTTGAGTGAGACAAGACCTAATCACATCACACGCTGGCCGATTCATCTTTTTCCAAACCTTCTCATTAATGTCGTCCGGTTTTCCGTCCAACTCCAACGTATCTTCCAAATTCTGCGCATTGAGCGCATCCAAGACTTCGCATCGCCAAAGTCGAAAATTGTTAGTGTCATTGAACTTCTCCACGTCAATCTTCATCGAGTGGATAATCAAATTTTGGACAGTCATCACACCTGAAGAACCACCCTCAATTCCCTTTTTCTCGCCCATAATCCTCAGCACACCAACAACCAATGCGGAAACAAACGAAGAATAGATCCAAAACTGAGAAAAGAAAGAAGCTTTATCAAAAAGATCACATCTTTCTCACCAACTGAAACCCTAGACGAGCTTCCCAAATCGATCTACTCCTCCAATAGCCGAAGCGTAGCCCGAGCTTTGATACCAATTGTTGGGCAAAAACAACCCCGTGTCGTGGAACCAAACCAAACGCCGATCAAAGAGGGCCAAAACCAACCAATGTCAATGCACAAACAAAACATCAATTTTTAACGTGGTTCGATAATTGCCTACGTCCACGGGACAAGAAGGGGATGAGGTTTTCACTAATAGAGAAGAAGAGTACAACTTGAGATTACAAATCACTCGAAGGAACAAACTAATCTCACCAACAAAGCTCTTAATCTCTCCAAATAAACCCTAATCAAATAGCTCAGAAAATACCTCTTTTCTGTGCTCCAAATATCCTAAATTTTTGCCTTAGAAACCCTAGAAACGTATATTGGTATTTATACAAACACCAAAACCCAATAAGAACAGGAAACACAAAACAGGCTCATACCCACTACGCGGTCGACCGCCAAAAGCTCGCGGTCGACTGCGATCAAACTACAGAGAGTCAAAAACCATTACAGGGTATCGCGGTCGACTGTGCCAAGTCCTGAACCAAATCTCAAGTTTGTGCACGTATGCGGTCGTCCGGCCTTGTGCCGCGGTCAACCGCCAAACTCCAAAACACTCTCCTGAGCTCCAAAACCTGTTCTTCTTCGAAATTCTTCGCGGTTTCTTCATCTCAACATCAATTTTTAACGTGGTTCGATAATTGCCTACGTCCACGGGGCAAGAAGGGGATGATGTTTTCACTAATAGAGAAGAAGAGTACAACTTGAGATTACAAATCACTCGAAGGAACAAACTAATCTCACCAACAAAGCTCTTAATCTCTCCAAATAAACCCTAATCAAATAGCTCAGAAAATACCTCTTTTCTGTGCTCCAAATATCCTAAATTTTTGCCTTAGAAACCCTAGAAACGTATATTGGTATTTATACAAACACCAAAACCCAATAAGAACAGGAAACCAAACATGTGCCTGACCCGCTACGTGGTCGATCGTCACGGTCGACCGCGACCAACGACAGAACCTGGAAAAACTCCTACAGGGTCTGGCGGTCGACCGCGACAAACGACAGAGCCCAAAAATACATTATAGGGTCTGGCAGTCGACCGCGCCAAATCCAGACTCATACATGAGCCTGTGCACGTTCGTGGTCAACCGGCCTTGCGCCGCGGTCGACCGCGCAGCTCCAAAACAGATCCCTATGTCCCAAAAAACCTGTTCTTCGAAATTCTTCGCGGTTTCTTCAGTTACCGATATTGGACTAGGAAAGAAAAGAACACTTCAGCCTGTATGGTTATTTCTTCTCCCGGCCAGCTTCCTTTCTGGCATAAGTTCCTTGTTGATATTGTTGTGCTCTCTCAATATCAACTGTTGAATCTTCTAAATTATTCAACCCTCTTCTAGCGCATCAAATGGATTGTGCAGCTTGACATGATAACGTGATGAGTTTAATGTTTGGATTTGATGTTCTTCGCATCTGTTTCTTCTTCTTTTCGAACCCATTTTAATGTTTAAATAAAACCATGTAATTGGCTATTTTCCTTAATTTATTGAAAAAGTTCTAACATGTTGAGGAGTTTAGGTTTATGGGAGAGATTGAAGGAGTAAACGAAAGAAAATAGAAAGAGAAAGTGGTTGCATTATCCTTTGCAAATAATCATCACTTTTCACAGCTTTCTTGGGTGCCGATGACAGATATCCTATAGTTGAACTGGCTCTAGTAAATGTGTAATCATACTAATGCAACATGTACTTATAGTTTTCATTAGTTTTCTAACGTAATTGTAATTGTGAAATTATCTTTCTTATTTATAACCGTAAGAGTTCGTTTCCTTGATTATTCAGGTTTTCTGGGAATAATCTCTATGCTGACACTTTCACTGCACAAGCAACTGCATGTGTTGTTTGCTTTACTGGCAATGACGGCAGGGAGTGCTGGTGTAGCAATAGCAGATGTGACGATAGACGCCTGTGTTGCTCAAAAAAGTATAACTCATCCACATCTTGCTGCTGATATGCAAAGTTTGTGTGGGTTATGTTCATCCATAGGAAGCCTTTTGGGCTATTCCATCAGTGGTTTACTCGTTCATGCTGTCGGTCCACAGGTTACATTCTGAACTATTCTAAGCGTTTAAATGAAAATTTGAACATTGTTAAGAAGTGAAGAAATTGATGGAATTTTCATTACATTAGTCTGAAGAATTTTAGGTGTAAAATCATAAAAAAAACAACAACAAAAATATCATCAAAAGGTTGCAACAACAACAACAATATCATCAAAAGGTAGCAACAACAACAAAGCCTTTACCCCAATTTTTCAGTCAGTGATTCAGTTCTCTTAAGGGTCATCATATTCATTAAACAGTTATCATATCTCTTAATTGCTTTCAACAAAGTTCCTTCAGGTCTACCTCTAGTCCTATTTGTCCCATTAACTACATCTTATCATTTCTCCTAATAGGTGCATTTTGTGGTTTCCTCGTTGTACAACACCAAACCATCTTAATCAATTTTGTCTCATTTTAGCCTCAATTGGACCAAACTTCTAGAGATGCACTTATTTTATCCTATCTGTTAGTGTACATCGCCAATATTAGAGGACCTTCCACCACACTAAAACTCCAAAGTTAAGTAAAGTGAGATTTGATCCTGGGTTGGTTTGATACCATTTCAAAGATCTTTGATACTATACGAAAACACCGAATTTGTGGTGATGGTTGAGGGTTATACTTTTATACTCTTAACATGCCCTTTAGGAGGTTGTTGAGCGCCTTTTAATGGTCTGATACGTGGACACACATAATGGTTGTCTCCCTTTTTTTTCCTTTTTGAAAATCCGCATTAAGTTCGTGGTCCATGGGAATTGAACCGATTAATAACCAAGTTATAAGGTCCCTGCCACTACACCAATCTAAAGTTGTGGCAAGGTTTGAGGGTTATAATTTTATACATATTGACACACGAGACCATCGTAACATTCTCATTTTTTTAACACTAGTTTTGGATGCAAATTTTGCACACTCGTCAAAACTAAAAACAATTGCAAACAATTTTGATTAGTGATGCTTTCTAAACTCAGAAATCATTATTCAGTGATAAATTGATCCAGTGGCTAAGGCTTGTGAGAATCTCAAATCTACACTCACGGAATTTGATCCAATCGCTAGTAGGCTTGCAAGAATCTTAAGTCCACAGTCATCGAGTTTAGCTTATATGTGAAGATGACTTCCAGAGTGTCTATAAAGAGCAAAGATAATTAGTGGAGTTAAATGACAAGTGGGAACTTCCTTTTCTTTTTCTTGCTGAGAATAGGCATTAGCCTGATGCAATGGAGATCTGAACCACAAAGCACGAACCTCTTGTACGAGGCTTTCATGGAACATAAACCGGCTACTTGTATAAAACTTAAACTTTAAACTAAAGAATACAAGTATTTACATTTTCCGTGTTTTCGTCTTCTGTTTTCTGAAGGGTGTACTAGGCTTGTTAAGTATTCCTTCTGCACTGGTGTTTACAGTTGGAATGGTGATGAAGGAAGCTCCTACACCTAAATTTGAATACAACGAGGTAAGTGCTCTGATTATCATTTTAACTCCTTTAACTACTTCTTGTTTGATTCTTCTCTCGAATATCTTTATTGAAATAAAGAACTCCCATTAGGTGTGCGAAAAGTTCCTGCAAGCCAACCGAACTATGTGGACAACTTTAAAATGCCCTGCTGTCTGGCGGCCATGTCTATATATGTATATCTCATTTGCTCTTAGCTTGAATATCCAAGAAGGAATGTTCTTTTGGTACACAGATCCAAAAGCAGGCCCACCTTTTTCTCAGGTACTTCATTGATTGGTATTTTCAAGTATCGAAAGTTGGGAGTTTTGGTATAGTGGAAGAGACTTTAGCATGGTATCAGATCCGCATATTTAAAGTAAATTTAAGGAGAAAAAAAAAGTATAGTGAGTTTCAGCCCATGAAAAAGATGCACATCCAAAGGGGCATCTTAGAGAATAAAATTATAGGATGAATTCCACAACAGCTCCTGGACTTTGTAAATCACAGAGAAGTCCCATGAGCTTTCAAAGTTATAATTAACACCCTTGAACTGTTGGGAGTTCTCATATAGTGTTAACAAGTAGAGTAAAAAGTTGTATCCTTTTTAGTTTTTTTTATCTACCCTTATAATAAGGCAATATACAAGTTATATTTAGTAGACAAGGTAAAATTGTCCAAAATTTTGACATGTGCAGACTACGTGACAACTTAAATTGAACTATTGTTGCACGTGGTACATAAGTCAGACAAGTTTAGTAGTTTTGTGCAAAACCCAAAAGTTTAAGGGGGCTATGTGAAATTTATGTAAACTATAACCCACAACCCTCATCACTTAGTTGCTATGTTTCATGGAAACATGTACTGGTGTGGATACAAGATACGACAAATTTGTAAAGATAGGATACGGAGATACTACTATATGCACACACACATACACACACATGTATGTTATATTCCTATGGTGAGAGAGAGACTAACGGGTATTATATGATCTATGAGGGGATTCTCTCATAGACATTGATGTGGCTGAATCTCAGATAAATGTTGTGGGCAAATTCATTAATTTTTTGGAGGAAACACAGCTTTATTCACTTGGCCCAAATTCAGCCATATCAATGTACACGAGAATCCCTTCAATGTCATATGATACCTATTATTTTCAGATATACATATTGAAAATTAAAATTTTATATGAGATCGGTATTTTTTTTATTTTTTGCATCAACATATTTCGAGAATTAAATTTTATGTAACATTTTATGTTTCTTTTATTATGTAGATGATAAATTGGAAACGAGTTGTTTCTGAACTGGATATGGAAACAACCCTTTAAAATAATAGTTCTAACTTACTATGGTGTGCAACGAATGTGACCCTTGTCCAATAAGTTTCAGAAAACGGATGTGAAGGGTAAAAAACACACACTAAAGAAGTGTGTGATGAGTGTTTTAAGTTACACCGTGCATAATATAATTGAGTACACGTCTTAATAAATGTATACATATATTTAAGGAATGCCCAAGGAGAGTTGGTGTATGTTATAGGGTCGGTACGTGTCAGGTGCGGCTTCATGATAGAAGGACCAATGCAACATCTTCACAGTTTTGGCGTAATAGAATAGGCTTTTACAAAGTACAAACTATATTTGCCAGGTCTTTCCTTAGACTGAACACCTGATTCTGTACAGGAAACAATAGGATTCATATTTGCAGTGGGCTCAATTGGAGGTCTTCTTGGAGTTGTACTCTACCAGAACGTTTTCAAGGATCATGCATTCCGCGGCATGCTCTTGTGGAGCCAGGTTCTTTCTTGTTTAGCCGGGATGTTGGACCTTGTGTTGGTCTTTAGATTGAATTTAAAGCTTCGCATACCCGATTTCTTCTTTGGTGTTGTCGATGAGAGCGTATCTCAATTGATTGGCAAGCTCAAATGGATGCCGCTTTTAGTTCTAAGCACCAAGCTTTGTCCTTCTGGCATTGAAGGCACCTTCTTTGCCTTACTCATGTCAATTGATAATTTCGGTTTGCTTACATCTTCATGGGGTGGTGGTCTTTTGCTACATATTTTGCATGTTACTCGCACCGATTTTGGTAACCTTGGAGTTGCTATCTTGATCCGAAACTTAATGAGATTGTTACCACTAACATTGATATTGCTTGTGCCTAAAAGTGAACCAGATGCGAACATTCTTCCTGTTGATATGCTAGTGGAGAAAATCGATAATAGTCCAGATACAGAAGTGGAAGATATCGAACTGGTTTCACTTGTTGGTCAAATTCAAAGACAATGATATCATTCATTTCGAAGATTTCGAGGTTTTCAAAGGTTTCTATACATACCGCCTTTCAAGTCATTGATGTTTATGGCATGAAATTTTTGTAATTTTGTGTGTTCATTTTGCTTCTTTATATGTCGAGGTATAGAAATTGCTGAATATTCTTTGTTTTATTAATGAGAATATGTCTCCATTTGATATTTTTCAGATATAAGTACATACATATACATGCGTATGTTTGTGTATCTCTATGTATGTCTGCGTATGTATGCATGCATGTTTGTGCGTGTGTGAACGGCAGTAGATGCTTACTTCATTATCCTGGAGCTTGATGTATTAGGTTATGAATATCGCTTGGGGGAGAGATGGATGTTGGTAATGCATTAGGTAAATAATAAAGTTGTCATCCTTTCTTCTTCCACCATTCGGTTTTATTTTTATTATTTATTATTTTTTTTTTATTATTATTTTTTTTTTTTTGAATAAATATATGAATAGAGTTGAGCTTGACTATTATTGCCAGTATTCAGTATGGTTATTATATGCTCAAATTTTAATTTTTTTTTTAATTTTGAATTTAAAAATGAGGATACTATTGCTGGTTTATCTATAATAAATAATCTCATATGGAAAGGGCCAAGAACAAACACTGGAAATGATACTATTGACGATCTCACAACTGCGAGTAAACTTGCGGTACATACATAACGTGTATGATTCATAATGTCCATATTATCTTCTTCAAAGTTTCATCCTCTACCATGTTACTTTTTATAGTTTTCTGATGTCCACAACTAGCTTATTATACACATTTTCTAGTTCAGGTAAATTCAGATATAGTTACTTACGGATTGAACAATAAGTTAGTTAAACATATGTAAGCGCTAGTTTTTCATATTGCTAGTGTCATTATTTGAGAAGGACTGTGCAGACACAGAATACAGTTGTTTGAGCTACAATTAGTTACAAATATTAGTACCTAGCTCGTTAGATTCTGATACATTGCTATTTGAAACCATTACTAAATTCCTGATAGGTCTCAATCTAGCAAATGATCACTCTTTTCGCCACAAAATGATATTCCGTAAGAGAAACAAAATAAAAATATAAAGAAAGGAAAAGGAAACATCAAAGCTGGTGTCTTCTGAAGATTTAGGACTTGTTTAGATTTGGGGTAATGAGGGGTAAGGGAAGTTATGGGCACTTTATCCTTGTTTGGGAATGAGTTCATGCTAGGTAAAGGGGGAGAAGGGTAGGTAAAGGAGCGGAATGATGGTGAAGAGAACTTCTAATATAAAAACAATTATGGAGAGATTATTTTACCATCTATCTTATTTCTAACAAAAAATGACTTACTAGCATGTGAGGTTATTGTCGTAATTTTACATATATTCCCTTCAGTTTATTGAACTTCCCAAACAGAGTGAAATAAGTTCCCCTTGATTCACCTTACCAATTTTCCAAACAAGTTTTCCATATTCTATTACATTCCCTTTACCTTCCCTTAACTTCTCCAATGTTTCCTCAACTTTTCTTCACTAGGTCCAAATCCAAACAAGCCCGCCC